ATAGCTACGAACTGAGAGACGAAAGGCTCAAGGCACAGCAAACGGCGGTTGCAAGAAGACTGGGAAAATGGTGGGCACCCCGCCTTCTTATACTATGGCGGGGAGGGGTGCGGAGTTTCTGCCAAAACCATTAAGCTTTCAAATCTTCCCTGCTACAGGCACTGCACAGGCGCACCCATATGTGTGATGCACAGAGACCACGACGATGAAGAACAAAATATAAGAATGATATATTCAAAGACCATAATGTTGAAATTTATTTACAAAAGAAATTGATGGTAGAATTCAATGTTTGTTTCATCTTTGCCACATATAAATTGGCTATACTAGGAATGATGTGAGAACTATTTATTGACATTACTTTTCCTTGAGTGTATAATTGTTGATCCAAAACTATAATATTTCTTCAAAAAGATCCAACAGAAATATGTACATGGGTGAAAATATGCTTTTATTAAGAACATATTCAACCATTCCTTTTGTATCTCTGTGGAATATGAATATCTAGAAAGAGAACTAGCATCTGTAGTCACTAACTGTGCATTGTCATATATAACTAAACCAGGTATCTGTTTTAGAAAATGCTTTGTGTGTGGTTTTATTTTGTGGTTCCCTGTCAGCCATGGAGCCTTCCCCTTTGTATAGCTTTTTTCAGACAACCCACCCAGAAAGCTTATGGGGTATTCTAGCTTATGTCACCCACAGTGAGTTATTGCAAATGGCATGCCCCATCTTGGATGAGCCCCAAGAACCAGCAAGGTGCTTGGTGAAAGAGGCAAAAATGCTTTGCCTGTTTTGACAAGTAGTTGCCACATGAACATAGCTGATAGCAGTCTCCAAAGAGCCTTTTTTCTTCTTTGACCTTATTGTGCAAACAAGGCCCTGAAGTACAGAATGGGCAGCATGCAGCCTGCTTAAAGGGGCAATGGGCAGAATTTCAGCAATAATATAGAAATATTATTATTGCTAGAAAAGTTACTTCAGTTGTTTATTTTTGTTGGTTCATACAGTATGCAAATTATGTATATTTTTATTCCAAGATATCTATATATTCATAAAGTTTAATATTCTAGTTTAATTATTTATACTATGCCATTTTTTTCTAGTGCTCCTGAGGAATACTTGAGCTGGTAACCTTAGCAATAGTTTAGTGTCACAAGAATGAGCCTAGGTGAGCCTCAGGTCTGTGTATTCCTCTGTGGTAAAGCTGGCTTATTTCCACTAATTTTAGTTAATATTAAGCACAGCTTGGGGTTCAGATAACTTGCTAAACTGTAATCTGAAGTGGAAGTAGAATTATCTTAACTTGTAACCACAATGGATGAGGAGAAAGGGGGATGTAGGAGCTTGAGCCTCATTGTGATTGATTTTCATAACACGAAAACCAGCTCCCTGGATGCAACAGTCTTAGATCAATAAATCACTGTATATTAAACCATGCAAAAGTGTTTGAACTATTTTCTTTTTTCTTTGTCTCTTCTTTCCTCTTCACACACACCAGTATCAGTCATGGTTTCCCTTAAACCACAATTGTCCATCATATATTAAATGAGAACTGTTTAATATATCTTTACTATCTGTTCATGAAATTTATTCTAGTTAGTGAACAAACACTGGACCACAGAGTTTCTGGTTGAGGAGGCAGAGAAAACTGTGATTTAAAGAAGTCATGGCTGATGCACAGGAAACTTATGAGAAAACAGGGAGAAGGGAATCTGCAGACTCAGTTTTAGTTCCCAGCTGAATAAATGATTTATTAAGCTAGGATTGCTACATCCAGACAGCTCTCAATGTTGAAACATATAGGCACATCATAAGCCATAATAAAAATCTATTTACATATATTGAATGGGTTTTTGCAATATCTCTCCTTTCTGTGAACATCACTCCCCAGGCCCACTATGGAAATGAGCAGAAACGTTTCAGGAACCAGTTTCCTGTTGCTTGTTTCAGAAACTGGTAGTTTCTCGGGCACTGTTGGATATTGTCCAAGGAATCCATCCAAGATCACCTGAATTCTTTTCTCATCCAGCATAGAACTGACCAAAAAAGAGTGTGTATGTGAGAGGTGAGGGCGGGGGGAGGCTTGGGAAAGGCAATATTTTTGCCTGGTGAAAAAGCTGGCAGAGACAGGGCCTGTGGAGAATATATTATAATTAAGGCATTGCCACAGAATAAGTCCATTTTAATCAGCTGCAGGTAGGTAATTTCTCCCACTCAGTTTCTGAAAGTGGAGCGGGGGGGATGTTTAGACTAGACCTAAAAGAAGTATAACAGATCTCACTTTGAACATTGGTCCAACTCTCTCTTCTAAATGAGAAAGAAGCAGTAGCAAAAACTCCAGTGAGCTGTATACACAAAAAATAAAAGTAGTTTTATTCCTATTAACGTGATATTGTTATTAGTTTTATCTTGTGTTTGTTTAAATTTATTCTGGCAGTGTACATTATGTGTAAAATTTTTAGTATGTTGTAAACTGTCCTGAAAATCATTGACTAAATAGGAATCGTATAAAAATGCCTTAAATAAATAAATATAGTTTTTATTTTTCAAAGTGAAGGTTACCAGCCTAACCACCATGCAACACGTGGAAATGTGAAAATAAAATAAAAGTACATATTTGAATGAAAAACAATCCTAATATTTTTAGAATAACATGGAAAGAAATTGTAGCCATTGATTAATTTTGAGCAATTGCTTCAATTTGCATTTTCTGCCTTTTCATTTGTTAGATTGTCTTAATTATATTCCTTGATCCTGCTATTTAAGTTTTGTCATCTAGCATGTTGCTATCAATAATAACCTACATTTGTCTTTTTTAATTATTCCTCTGAATTTCATAACTTTTAAAAAATCTGACACCATTTAATTTTACTGGTTGCACTATTTAAAATGAAAATATTTTCGAATGCTTATTGCTTTTTTTCTCTTTGCTGAATATATATTCCAGAATTCCATTAACTCTGAGTACTTGGTTTCTATTTTTAAAACTCTTAATAGGGTTAGTGCCTTAGTTTTAATAGGTACAATCTATCTTTGTGGCAAACACTGCTGGCAACAAAGGTGGAAGCATCATAGTATACATCGGAACTCCTCTGCCCAAAAAATCAGTGATCTGCTTTCCCTATGCACACAAAATGCATGTGCACAGCTTGTCCGTGCCCAGTGTTTGTTGGACTGGTGCAAGCATGAAATCTAATTTCTTTCCTCAAGAACAGGACAGAGGTGCTGGGTTGATTTAGATGCTATGCTACTCACAGGTTTGTTTCTCCATCTCCATACATGGTTGTTCCCTTCTCTTCATCACTTCTTCAATTTATTATAGAACAACAGACTTGTAGCTGGTTTGCAGTATTAGTTACAAGTGTAGTTTTCATTTAAAGCCAAGGTAACAGTGTAATTGGGAGGGACAGTGCCAAATGGGAGAAAGTAAAAACATTCAGTCAGCCCTAAAAAGCACAGATCCTCTGAAGAATCCTTATTTAAAAATGGCATCTACAGTGATCCACCTTTACAATATAAAAAGCAGGTTCTGTTGTTCTAAAATCTGCACTTGTCTTCTAGGTACAAATATTTATTTGGGAGATTAGAGGCCCCACCCCCAAACTGTCAATATTTAGAGCAACTAAATAGATCAAGTATAATTTGTCCCCAAAATTTAGTGTTCACCTCAAGCTTGCTTTAACCAGCAGCTGCTATTTATGTAAGAACATGGAATGGCATCAGCCATGGCTATTTAACCAACTTTTTGACTGAAACAACTTATAGGGGCTTATAATAAGCAAATTGCTGTTGGAGATAGTCTTTCCCACCCCTCTCATTCCAAGCAGATCAGGACAAAAGGCTTCTAAATACAAACTTTATTATTAAAGCTGTCCAGCTAGGTTGGCTTATAGTACAAAATGGGAATTGCAGAAGTCATTAAAGACATCACTGAAGTTAGAATGCCAGTTATAGGGGAAAGACAGCCTAACATTAAGAAGCTGGCTCCAAACTGAATTCTTCTCACCCCAAATTCCACCAAAAGGAGTCAACTCTACTCTCAGGGTGGTCCCTGCTGTTTATGAGGCAGACAGCAAGAACATTGAATACTACTCAGTCGGTCTATTATTTTAATTTGACACTGGACTATGGGACTGATTGTATTACATCCATCCCCATCTAACTGCACCTGTTCGACAGAATATCTCACTGAACCTACGTGGTCTGGTTCTCACCAGCCTCTTGACTTATTCCTGGGTCTGCTGGCATTGGCATTTCAGCTATGGATTCCCACCTCACCTCTTCCAGTTCTGATTCAGATTCTGAGGTAACAACCTTGGAGTACTGTATTTGGGGGAAAGCAGGCGTAGTCCCTACAAACACTAAACATTGTGTTATAAAACCACCTATAATACTGTGGTCCATTTCATATACCAGTTGGGACATTAGATTTCTAAACTGAATTTGCTACTTTGGGCCTTTCTGTTGCTTTCGGGGGCGGGGGATGTTTAGTCAGACTATACCTATGAAAATTTGCTTGCTGCATTGTAGGACTTGGGTCATACTGTCTGGTTAAAAGCTCTCTAATATGCATGTTTAAAGTTTTCTCATCGAAATATATATATTTTAGAAGATAGAAGTATTCATTTCTCTTACTGAAATTGGAGCTTTTTGGTATTGTAGCCCCATAGAAGTATGAAACATACACTTCATTTTGTAAGGGCTGCAGTAATTCTACAGTCCTGTGCTTTATATGTTATCATTGCATTATATGTTAATAGGCAAGCTTGCACTGTCCAAAAGAACAATGGAACATCATTGAAATGACATGCTTTGATTTCATGTTGTAAAAGTAGTCTTGGAAAAATAAGCAAGAAACTTTTTGTAAACAGAAATTACATTCACCCTAGCTTTTATGTTGACAGTGCTACAGGATAGGGAAGGAAATGTTGTATATAAGAAGTATTTTCTAACAATATTGATTAATATACATTTGTTACATTTTTTTATTCTTTCAGTCCTAGTGGTTCTTTATTGTCCTGTTTGGAGCAGGTTAAAACATACCTGCTGACTGATGGAACATGCAAGTGTGGTTTAGAATGTCCTCTCATCCTTCCTAAGGTAACATCAGATATTTGAATATGCTGAATGCAAAACTAAGATGTGTTGAACTCAGCCAATAGCTCTGCTAGCTGTGGATGAGGAGCTTCATAATCCAGGTTTAGTTTGGTTGAATTAGAGTGTTTCAGAGCAGGAAGAACAGTTTTGCAGCCCCTAGACGGCATCTAGAGGGAAGCTTTGGATTATCAGATCCAAGATAAAAAAAAACAGCTCTGATCTTAGAGCTGAGGATCTGCATCCAGGTCCCCCTCAACTACCTGTGCAGACAGTACAGGAAAAAATGCACTGGCTACTTCTCCAAGGCCATCAGACTGACCTTGAAGATGGGGGTGAAGAGGGTGTTCTTTGGAGTGTGGGGCATAGGAGATTAGATCTGCCAGGATACCATGTATCCTGTAGGCTCTCCAGCTTCCTTTCTTTCTTCTCCAAGGTGTGGACGGCTAAACAGCTGATACTGACCATACAGCTGAGTTGTAGTGTGGGAGGAACACAGAGACAGCAGTCACCTCTTCTCCTCCCACCTTGCATAGAGGATTTTTAAAATTTAATAAAACAACTGTATCCTGTCCTTTACGGCAACATCTCAGGACGGTGTACAAGTTTAAAATGAACAACAACAATAAAAACAATCAATCATACAGTATACAATAATAAATAACCATAAAAATACAATCAATCATAATGAATATAATCAGAATTAAAATAAATCACATTACAAAAAAGCAACTGTTAACTTGATTTCTAAAAACCCTAATTCTTAAAATGATGATTGAATAAAAAGGTTTGCACCTGGTGCCGAAGAGTATAAACTTGGTGCCAGGCGAACCTCTTTGGGAAGCGCATTCTACAATCTGGCCAGAGAAGACCCTACTCTGAGTAAAAATCCTCTTTACCTCCTTCAAGGAGGGTTCCCAGAGCAGGGCCTCTCCCACAGATCTTAAGGGGCATGTAAGGGAAGAGGCACTCATTCAGGTATCCTGGTCCCAAGCCATTTAGGGCTTTATAGGTTAATACCAGCACCTTGAATTGGGCCCGGACTTCAACTGGAAGCCAGTGGAGCTGATAGAGGACTGGTGTTATATGAGAATAATGACCGGTCCCCGTCAGCAACCTGGCAGCTCTATTTTGTACCAGTTGAAGTATCCAGACCTTTTTCAAAGGCATTCCCACATAGAGCATGTTACAATAATCAGGATGCCCATAATCCTTTTGTGTTCGGGGGTTTATGGGCCTCCTGAATAGATTGCATCCTAAATCTCTCACTCAGTTGATTCTATCTATCTATCTATCTATATATGGGGAGGCGGAGAGAGAGAATGAGAAGAAAACTGTTTTTAAATAGGCCATGAAATTAGCTTGGTAAATTGATGCAAATATCTTTGTTTTATTGCTTCTTTGATTTTAGGATTCAGCTTCTTTCCACGTTCTGTAGTGGAATTTGAAGGAGAAATTATTGTCCTAATGAGTATGAAAACACAATACGTTCTTAAGTAGGACCTCTAAAACATTTTTACTTAAGAGAGAGGAGAAATAAATCAAAGATAAAATTGGTATAAAATTAAATACTAAAATGTTTTCTTTAAATGAGGTGAAAATGAATATACTGGCTAGTTATCTGGTTTCTTACTATGATGATCGCCTCATTGTCATCTTTGTGAACGGAGGAAAAAATGCAAGTCTCCTTCTCTCACCAGTGAGAGGTGTTAATCAACGTTTACAAATCCTGAATGCTAATAGTGAACCCATTCTCTGAGTGGGGATCCCTATGCAAATAGCACTGATCATCAGTGTACAAGAAGGGCATCTCAGCATTTTTGAGGAGAGCTTCAGGGTTTGCAGAATCACAAAAGATCTTTAGGGAAAATTTGAAGTGGATAAACTGAGCATGTTCAGTGGACACAGGCTTTTGGTTGACTAATAAAGAGGAAAAAAACAGAAAACTTGAGAGAGGAAATGGAGTGGAGTATCCTGAAAAAAAACATGGCTAGCTGGGTGAAATCTTGAACAGCACTCCATTCTAAAGCATCAGTACCATCATGATGTATCCCGCTAGCTTTGTTCTTGGCTCCAAAGTTCTAAAATAGTCTTCAGGGATCCTGCTTTCTATTTTTTACTTTTCCTAGGTTGTGCTGCTCTTTCCCATATAGCCTCTTTCAGCTAGCAGTAACTTAGAATGAATTCCCTCAGAAACTGAATTTACCAAAACAGGATAAAGGTATGGTTGATGATGAGTTAAGGCAGAAATGGACCCAAAAGTTTAGTAAGGCAAGAAAGTCAGGGAACCACAGAAAAGGTTTGAACCAGCCGTCAGCCTTGTGTTCATTATCTAGAAGAAGAACAGCTCAGAATTTTTTAAAAAAAGAATCCCCAGTATATTTTATGAAATGTTATTTGTTTTGGCATACTAATTATATAAGGATTTAGTCACACTTAAGAGTAAATCCACTGAAGTCAAAGGGAATTTGACTAATTTGTCCTTAATATTTCAATGTCTTTACTTACATGACACACAGACCATGTGGTGCGGAACCCATGCATTTCTTTTTAAGAAAATAAGGGAAGCATACATCTAATGTTTCCACAAAAATGTTTATACTATAAACCAAAAAACTGTATTTATAACATGATTCTGGCATTATGATTTTTAAGGTATTTAATTTTGATCCTGGAGTTGCTGTGACGCAGAGAACAGCTGAAGATGTTAAAGCAGATGAAGATGTCACCAAGCTATGCATTCATAAACGGAAAATTATTGCTGTGGCTACACTTCATAAAAGCATGGAAGTGCCACATCCCTCACTGGTTCTGACTAGTCCTAGTGGTGGAACAAGTAAGTTGTGGTTTTCATAAAGGGCAGGAGAGAGTCAGTATTAACATGCATGTCTGCAGATGTAAGAAATGTGTAATGTTAATTATTTTATGAAGGTATTTGTTGATATTATTTCCAAATGTGGATTGCATGTAAAAATACAAAGATACAACAGTCAATCAATCTTTAAGGGTTGTTTTTGACAGTGATGTGTGCCTTACCTACTACTTCTTGCAGAAACATCCTGATTTACTCCTCCGGTCAGTTGTAGCCCAGGTAGTTAAGAGGTATACTGTAGTTCATTAGTAGTGGTTAGTAGATCAGAGGTCTTCCTTAGGATAGGAGAACTTTCTTTATAAGGGTCGGGGGGGGGGGCAGGTTATATAGAAACCAGTGTGGAACCTCAATCTGTTAGTAACATGCTGCAATTCTGAGTGCATACACAAGGCCTATTGTCACCATGCAGTATCTCTTAGGGTCTCTGCAGCCACCAGGAAAACACTTCTGTGCTGATTCTTGCACTGGATCCTCCATGCGGGATACCTTGGAGTATCCATTTTAACCTCGTGCACCCCCAAGTGTGCATGGACACTATAGCTTGAGAGAACAATACAGCCTCCTAGATCCTGTAGTAACTAGGTGGGCCTATAGCCTTTCTCCCTTCATCTGTCCACATTGGCCTGGATCAATGGTTTATGTCAAAAATGACTGGGAGCTAGAAAGCTGTATCCCACTAGGCTGAAAATTACAGGATTTGGTACCTTTAAACCAAGGGTGGATGTGATGCTGGGTTAGGTTTTGGGAGCTGCACATACACACAATTAGAGATCCTGATACAGATTGCTACTTTCTCACTGCAATTTGCATAAGGATCTTTGAATGAGAGAGTAGAGGCTACAAGGAGTAGCAAAATTGGTGATAATGGAGAATATAGCTTTAGGGAGTCATATCACAATTGTAATGTCCTTGAACAGTTGCTTGTAGCTTTTGGGCCACTCAATAGTATTTTGATATTTGGGGACTTGTTGCAATAGCTGTGGGATTCATTATTTTTGCAAATCCTAATTTTTCTTTGTATTTGTATTTCTGAAGTTAAATTCAGATAGGTCATGTTTGGATTTGAATAAATTCCCCACACAAGTAAATTGTCATTGAACGCAAAACCCAGCATCCTTAACAAAAGGAGATGGTATACTTGTGAACTTTAATGATTAAGAATGTATAGTATATGCAAGCGAGGATGTGTTAGTGCTGGTGGCTGGCAGGCTTGCAGGCAATCCATTAGGGAATAAACCTGGGAGTTAGACTATGAACAATTCAGATTGCACCTAAGCAATAAGCTGCCTCAGACTAAACTGCCAGCTGAGCATCACCAGAGCCAGATGGACCTCGGTGCAGTTTTGTCCAGAGGAAAGAGTTTAATTTTGTTCTAATATATTTAATTTTGTTTCAAGATAGTAACTCTCATATACTCCAAATCAGGTGCAACTCAAATGGTACCATCACGAGCAGCAACTCCAAGATCAATGAGGAATAAATCACATGAAGGAATCACCAATTCTGTGATGCCAGAATGTAAAACTCCTTTCAAGTTGATGATGGGGGGCTCAAATGCCATGGGTAGGCTGTATGTTCAAGAGATGAGTGCAAACCAGCAACAAGAACTTCATTCTGTCTATCCTAGGCAGAGATTGGGTAGTAATGAACATGGACAGAAGTCTCCATACCGTGGCAGCCATGGAGGAATGCCTAGTCCAGCTTCATCAGGATCACAAATATATGGAGATGGCTCAATTTCACCTAGGACAGACCCACTTGGAAGTCCAGATATTTTCACAAGGAATAATTCTGGTTTTCATGGAGCACCCAACTCTAGTCCTGTTCACATGAATAGAACTCCTCTGTCCCCACCTTCAGTAATGCTACATGGTTCTCCAGTGCAGTCATCTTGTGCACTGGCTGGAAGGACTAATATACCTCTTTCCCCAACCTTGGCCACAAAAAGTCCAATAATGAAAAAACCCATGTGTAATTTTTCAACTAGTATGGAAATGCCACGAGCAATGTTTCACCACAAACCACCTCAAGGTCCTCCTCCTCCACCACCACCACCGCTGCCGCCGCCACCTTCTTGTGCTCTTCAGAAAAAGCCATTAACATCAGAGAAGGATCCACTTGGCATTCTTGACCCCATTCCTAGCAAACCAGTGAATCAGAATCCTGTTATCATTAATCCAAGTACTTATCATTCAAATGTCCACTCTCAGGTACCTGTGATGAATGTAAGCATGCCTCCAGCTGTTGTTCCTTTACCAAGTAATCTTCCTTTGCCGACTGTAAAACCTGGTCACACAAACCATGGGAGTCATGTTCAAAGAGTTCAGCACTCTACTTCAACCTCTCTCTCACCCTCACCAGTAACATCACCAGTTCATATGATGGGATCTGGAATTGGAAGGATTGAGGCTTCGCCCCAAAGATCACGTTCATCTTCCACATCATCTGACCATGGAAATTTCATGATGCCTCCAGTAGGACCACAGTCATCTTGTACTAATATTAAAGTCCCCCCTCGATCACCGAGATCATCAATAGGGTCTCCTAGACCATCCATGCCATCAAGTCCTTCTACAAAGACTGATGGACTCCATCAATACAAGGACATCCCCAATCCACTGATTGCTGGAATGAGTAATGTATTAAATCCTCCAAGCAATGCAGTTTTTCCATCTGCATCTCCTGGAAGTGGGCCAGTGAAAAGTCAGCCTGGATTGCTGGGAATGCCTTTAAATCAGATCTTGAACCAGCACAATGCTGCCTCCTTTCCAGCTAGTAGTTTACTCTCAGCAGCAGCCAAAGCACAGCTAGCAAATCAAAATAAACTTGCTGGTAACAATAGTAACAGCAGTAGCAATTCTGGAACTGTTGCCAGTGGTGGCAGCAATGATGGACACAGCACTTTAAACACCATGTTTCCTCCTACTGCCAACATGCTTCTACCATCAGGTGAAGGGCAAAGTGGTCGAGCAGCACTACGAGATAAACTGATGTCTCAACAAAAGGATCCCTTGAGGAAAAGAAAACCACCAACCACTACAGTGTTGAGTTTGCTTAGGCAGTCTCAAATGGATAGTTCTGGAGTTTCTAAATCTGGGCCAGACTTGATAAGAAAGCAGAATCAAGGTTCATTTCCCATTACATCTATGTCCCAGTTACTTCAATCCATGAGCTATCAAGGTTCTCATATGAGTAGCAATAGTACTACTGGTTGTGGGAGCTCAAATTCTATTTTGCCTTGCTCTGCTAACCAGCTGCATTTTACAGACTCTAATATGAACTCTAGCACTCTTCAGAATTCACTGGCACAGGATTTACCTGTAAGAGGGGAAAGTATGCACTGCCAGAATTCAAACACTAACTTTGGCCATGGCACTAGCCCTGGCCCTAACAACCATCTTGCAGGCTTAATAAATCAGATGCAAACAAGTGGAAGTTGTGGGGTGCTCAGTCAGCCTGGATTGGCTTTAGGAAATTCATTACATCTGAACCCACCTCAGCCACGAATCCAAGCACCATCTACATCAGTGATACCAAACAACATTGTAAACAGTTGCAGTCAAACAAGTTCTGAAACAGGTATGTTTCCTTCTGAAATTTTAAATTGTGGCATTCATTGTATTTTTAAATGAATACAAACATATTGCATTGGTTGTCTGCAATAGAGTGACATAAAAATTTATACTCTCAAGTTCTTGGCAATTTGATACATCACCAAAGGTGTAATTTAATTACAACAATCAAAACATGTTATTTTCTCAGTGCAAGTAGAGCTTGTTTATAGATTTATATTTCCTTCTAAAAGTCTGCCAGAACACTGATAGATACTGTTTTTCTCTGATAGTCATGCATTATTCAGTTGTGGTACAAAAAAGTTCCAAATATGCTCAAGATCAAGGGCTAACAAATGGCAGTCATATTAGCAAAATGTGTATTAATTGATATGAATATAGCCATCAAGGAATGCAGGTGCATAAATGATAAGTGAATTTTGATTGTTGCTCACCTCTGTATACTCCTATTAATTCTTGACCCTTGTTTCCATGTAAAGCATTATTACACAGAAACAGGGTGGCAGTGGCTACTAATTGCTTTCTAAAGTGGTGACATTTTCTCTAAAAAATTTTGAGGGGTTTTCCTAGGCAGGTTGCAGGTTCTCCAAACACAGTATATTATTTTCCTTCTCCTTAGCTTTCCACAGGTTCCATTTCTACAAAGTGTTCATAAGGAGCATTCAGAAAACAGTTTTGCAGAGGTTGTTGTTATGTGCCATTAAGTCATCTCCAGCTTATGGTGACCCTATGAATGAAAGCTCTCTAAAATGCCCTGACCATGACATCCCTGCTTAGCTGTTCTAAATTCAAGACTGTGGCTTCCTTTATGGAGCCAACCTGACTTTTATTTCATTTTCATTTTCTTCATCTGCCTTCAACTTTTGCTAGCTCGTAGAGGTACATGTCGCAAGATGTGTTTCCTCCCTGCAACAGTCACCTGCCTCAAGCCATTCTCAGCAAAACTCACTTTATTGTTTCTACATATAAATCACCCAGTCAAGTTTTTGCGCATGCAGAGAGCAGTTTGTTGAACCCAACCTTGTGACTATTTTCCAAAACATTCCTTATGAACATGCTTGTGACCCAACCTTTGGGAAGGGGCACTGCAAAAGTGAGCACACCTTTTCTCCACGCTCTTCTCAAGCAATTGTGCTTCTCACTGCTGCTGCCGCCGCTGCTGCTGCCTAGCCATGGGGGCTATATCAGTGGGGAGTGACTGATCTCCGTTTGAAGATCCCCCAGCCTAAATAGCCCCTCATACTTCCTGTGTCTCCATACCATTGCCAGGGCCAGTCTCTGCCTCTGCCCCTAGTCTGCCCTTGAGTTAATCTCTGGCATCTTTATTCCCTGCTATAGCCTACGGCCTTGAGCAATGTCCTGCTCTTTAATCCCTTTTAAACATTCCTCTTCTGGATCAGAATTTAAATCAGCAAAATTGGTGTGGCACATGTCTGGCTGGAACACTTGCCTCAGCCTGCCATCATGCTTACTCCCAACAGTACATGTCATTATTGCATCATTGTTAGCCTCAAAATGTTTTAAATGCAGTCAGCTTACAATGGCATTGTTATCTGGAAGTGCTGTATTCCGCTATCCAAGAGAAAGAATTTGTGTGTGTTGCTCTAATATCTAATAATATTCCTCTTTTAGCCTGCCTTTGCTAGAGTTCTCTCAAGAAAGCAGTGTACAAAGCACCTCCCTATACCCTACTACATCTCCTATATAGACTCACATCATTCGTGCAGAGCTCTTACAACAGGGACAGATGCATAAACCCATCGTCTCTTTATATACCTACTGGAACTTGAGTAAAAATAATGAAGACTGAATAAAATGATCCAATGGCATAATGAATTATTCTTAAATAATAAAGTTCAAGTAGGAACCTAAAATCAAATTTTATAAACCTTAAATGACTTTCAGATTGTGTAATGACTTGTTATCCAGCAACAGTTTTTGTATTGTGAATATAAATTGAATTGAGAAAGAAAGTAAAGGTAAGTGATATGCTGTGTAATTCAGAAGGAAGCCTATTACATTCTTTCAAAATAAAATGTGGTGTTACTGATTTGCAACATCTTTTCTGCTTCCCATCCCAAATTAATTTTTTTCTTCTTTTAAAGTGAAACAACAAAGAAAACATTCCCAAAGAACCTAATTTAAATCTATCTTTAAATTTGTTAGTTTTCCAAATCTAAGCCCCATTAACGTAATGTTAATATAATAACAATACCCTTGTAAAGATCTACTGTGCATGGAAGTCTTCTTTGCATGTAAGTACATTGCAAGCTAATAGCAAACAATCAAGTGTAAAGAGCTAAAAGGGGGGATTTAACAGATCTTTTCTACAGAATAGGAAGCCAGATTTTAGTACTACTAAATAACTAGAAGGTTATGAAGATAATATAGAATTGTTGAAAATCCTCACCTTGTGAGGATTCCCTTGCTTCCTTTCACTCTTTGTTTTTTTGTTTTTGTTTTTTTGGAGAGCACCTGTCCCAATAGCCACGATTATTTACTTATTTATTTATTTAAAACTTCTCTATACCATCCCTTCACAGACATCTCAGGACAGTTCACAACAGATTAATAAAAAAGAATAGAAATAAAAATGAGAGTAGAGGTTGCACAGTGATGTTAAATATAAAACCACCAGTTAAAACAGGTTAACAATTAAAATATTGGGAGAATGAAAAGATGTTCACCTGACACTGACAGAAAATAAGTTAGCCATTCCAGACTCTCCATGTGGTATGTTGGAGGGGTTGACACTGGTTTGCCTGCTTTTTTGGGGGGGGTGCCTGAATTGTGGATAAATATTTTGTAATTTTTTAAAAAAATGGATTTCAGCAAGTGCAGAGGTGTGCACTTGCACAGGTCTGAAATGGGAAGCTCATTGTCCCATGATGTGACATGATGAGCAGTCAAGGGAAACTAAATTACAAGTGGTCCTTGCTTGTCAAATGGGATGGCCAACAGAACCCCCTTTCATTGTGAGATCCTCTGATATTTGCTCTTTATTTGTTTCCCCTGCTACTGAAATTTCTTATCCATTCCATCAATTGTACTACAGGGCTGAACCCTGGGGATATACTGTATTATTTTGTTTCAGGTTCACACTGGTTGTTTTCTGCTTGCCAGCTGTCAGAAAATTTACGTCACTATCTTTAAGATGCAGCAGCTTAATTTGAAATGCTGGGTATATGTAGAATTAGTGAATGCTCTTAAACACAAAACTGTTTACTGTACTAAGTTAAACACTCTGCTTTTTAAATTAGTGGGATTAGTCCTTTACTGGAGACTGAAATGTGTATATATGCTAAGGTATATACTCATGTGCCAATGGAGCTTGTTCATACCAATGAATTTCATATTGTTGGGATGAGTGACAGAGTGGTCCCAACACGTTTGTTTCTACATTTTAGCTAGATGGTAGTTTTTGGAAGTTGATCTGAGGTGCTTCACAGGTGGAAGAAGGGAGGTTGGAACACCATCAGGGTTCCAGAGGTCCCAATCTCCCAGCACCCACATACCAGAATACTTCCTTTATCCCTTCTCTAGTGCTGATTTCTCAGAGAGTCAGCTGGGCCATTCCATTCCATACTACTGCAATCAAGGAAGGGAGATTAGAGTATGGATTCTCAGCTCTGAGGTTGGAGCTTTGCTTCTAACCTCTGATTTGGGAAATGGAATTCTTCTATGGTCCCCAGATCGCTTTTGTTTGGTGTCAATGAAATCTCAGTTTGATAGGAATATTTCAATTTCACCCTTTTTCAAACAAAAATCAGAAGAGAAAATTCAAGGTTTTTTCTTCTATGGTTTCAAAAATTTGTAAACTTATGTATTCACTGGTGGCCAAACAAGGGCCTGGGAATCAGTAGATTATAAAAACTAATTATGAAAAATTATGCATTTTCTCTTTTTGAAGACAGCAGCTAGTTGCATTCTGTGTCTTATCTATAAGTAAACAGACATTTTTGTTGTTGTACACTTTACATGCTACTTTTGATTTCATAATTGGATTTTTGAGAAAGATGATTCTGACAAGTGTCTCCGAAATAATCTTTGGAAAGATGCAGATATATCTGTTATTGGTTTCAAGATTAGTAGTTGAAAGAGAAAATAGCTCAGACCTGGGAAAGAAAGCATTTACTAATATATTATGCAGACATTTTGTTTGTGTTTGGCCTGTTGCATGCCTGCTTGGGGGGTTGGGGTTGGCATCTATAAAACTGTTAAAAAACCAAGTTAGAGAAATAGTATGTGTAATAATATTTCAGCATTCAATTACTATCAGGATGGGATTGCCTAGGTTGTAAACATATGTATAAACATATGTCGTATCTGTCAAAACTAGAACAAAAATTAAAAAGTTTTCCTGTTATTTCAAAGGATTGTTTTTCTGGGAAAAAAGAACAGTTTTGGATTCTGAGAAGTTTTATTCTATAATTATTAGTAAAGTGTTTAAGATGAGATATTCCTATTTTGCTACCCAATCTTTATTTTCCAAAATGATTTCTAAATTTTAAAGGTAGTCCAGAGATGTAAAATTTCTCAAAATGTTGAAGCCATGATAAGGAAAAATAATATTCAATTTACATTTCTAAGCAGAGTAATTTCTTCCAATGCTTATTAAACTAACTGATCCAATACTGATCATACGCTGATAAATATTTAGAGATGATCTTCAGTTTTTTAACATGTAGCAATTTATGTATATGCACACATGCATGCACAAGCACATTAAAAAAGGAAGAGAATTACAGGACACCATTTATATGTGATTTTATATTGTTTATTTTATTATATTTTAACTATTATTTTATCTAATGTTATTTTATGGGTAGTTTTATTGTAAGGGCTGCCAAGAGAGCATGATGCTAATGGGTGGTGCTCAAACAAATTCAGTAAATAAATAAATAAGATTGTGCAATTGCATGAAATAAAGCTAACAGAATTAGCTGGCATGAGTAGGTTTTCCAGGGGATCTCAGAGTGCTAACACAGTTGGCAAAATGGGGCAGTG